CAGCAACTCACATGCATACCAGCCGCAGCAGCAGCACAACACAAAACGCCACAAGCTCAAGCAGCAGCAGCAGTGATGTATAAAGCAGCTAAATTTATTGTCTTACATTGGCGGCAAGGGGAGGCCTGCAGCGGCTAAGAACACCAAAAGAAAGACTCATATTTCTGCTGCTGCTGCTGCTGCTGCTGCTGCTGCTGCTGCTGTTGCTGCTGCTGCTGTTGCTGCTGCTGCTGCTGTTGCTGCGTTAGGAGTACCCCGTCTCCCTATTTATTTTTTATTTATTTTTATATTTTTATTTAATTTATTTGACTTCATCGCCCGCATGCAGAAAGAAGAAAGATAGAAAGCCCCAAACTGCTGCATGCGCTGCTGCTGCATGCGCTGCTGCTGCATGCGCTGCTGCTGGTGAGTTGGTTTTGCTGCTGATGTTTTTTGTTTATTTTTTTTATTTATTTTATTTATTTATTTATTTATTTTATTTTATTTATTTATTTATTTATTTATTTATTTATTTTTTTTTTTTTTTGTTAGGGTGGTGGTTCTGTCTATAACAGCAACGCACACCAAGAGAGAACCCCCCAAACGAAAGTTTTTTATTTATTTATTTATTTTTATTTATTTTTATTTATTTTTATTTATTTTTATTTATTTATTTATTTTTGTTTTTTTGTTTATTTATGTTTTTTGTTTATTCGTTTATTTCTTTAGTTGTTTATTTATTTATATATTTGGTTACTTGTTTGTCGGTGTTTTTATTTATTTATTTATTTATTTATTTATTTATTTATTTTTTTTTTTTTTTTTATTTATGTTTATTATATTACAAACATATATAAATATATATATTTATATTTATATATTTATATTTATAGATATTGTTATTAGTTTCTGTTGTTGGTGGTAGCTGCCTGTACACCCCAAATATACATCTGTCTCCTTTCTCTCTCTATCTCTTATAAAAAGCGATGAACTGCATGCATGCATGCATGCATGCATGCATTTGCATGCATGCATGCATGCATGTGTATGCATGCATGCATGCATGCATGCGTTTAACAAGAGACAGCCCCAAAAAATGCATGCAGCTCCTCTGGTGACATTTTTAGAAAAATAAAAGTCCCCACAAACGCATGCAGATGCATGCAGGCACTCATGCATGCATGCATTCGCATGCATGCATGCATGCGTGCATGCATGAGTGCATGCATGCACGCATGCATACATACATACATACATGCATGCATGCATGCATGCGTGCATGCATGCGTGCATGCAGTGGTGTGTACACAGTGTTATGTATACATGCATGCATGCATGCATGCATGCATGCATGCATGCATGCATGCATCGACTAAAGCCCTAAGTATATGAAGTGTCTCTGCAATTCTTTTGTTTATATGTATGTTGTTTTTCTCCTCTCCAAGCCCCAAACCCTAAACCCTAAACCCTAAACCCTAAACCCTAAACCCTCAATCAAGAGCCCCAGAGGAGACAGTTGTAGCTTCTTGCAGCGATAACTAACTGTCTCCTGTCTCCTGTTGCTGCTGCTGTCTCCTGCTGCTGCTGCTGCTGCTGCTGCTGTTGCTGCTGCTGCTGCTGCTGCTGCTGTCTCCTGTCAGCAGCAGAAGCGGATCCAGCAGCAAATAAGAACAAAAGCAAAAGAGCAGCAACAAACAGAAAAAAACAAACAAAAAAAACAAACAAAAAACAAAAAACAAGAAACATAAAACAAAAACTAACAGCTAGACCCCCCCTTTCTCCTATGCGGTTGCTGCTGCTGC